CACAGACAGCCGGTAAATGAAATTCACTGAGCAAATTATTTAGCCTCACTGAGCTTCAGATGCCTCGGGTACCAAACAGAGGCTTAGCTGCACCAGCTTCATGTGCTGTCAGGAAATCAGGTAAAGTGAACGCTGTGGCGTGCTCCTTAGGACAGTGCCGAGTACAGAGCACTTGCATCCATCTTTAGCCATTTTATACTTCAGAAGTTTAAGTTATCCCAAGATATCATCTAATGGGTAGGTAAGAAAACTTGTCTTGACAAGAACTCAAGACCTCTTTTTTTTTTTTTTTTTTAACCCATGGAATGAGGCAGAGGGAACACGGGCAGTTCTTGGGAGGGGGGACTGAAATCTCTTTTTTTTTTAATTGCGTCATAGTCAGTTTACAATGTTGTATCAATTCTGGCGCACAGCACAATTTTTCAGTCATACATGAAATACGTATATGTGTTTTCACATTCTTTTTCCCCATGAGCTACCACAAGATCTTGTATATATTTCCCTGTGCTATTCAGTATAAACTTGTTTATCTATTCTATATATATACCTGTCAGTATCTACCGATCTCTAACTCCCCATCTGTCCCTTCCCAACCCCCTCCCCATTGGCAACCACAGATTTGTATTCTATGTCTGTGAGTCTGTTTCTGTTTTATATTTATGTTCATTTATTTTCTTTTTTTTTTTAGATTCCACACATGAGTGGTATCTTATGGTATTTTTCTGTCTCCTTCTGGCTTACTTCACTTAGAATGACATTCTCCAGGGACATCCATGTTGCTGCAAATGGCATTATGCTGTCATTTTTATGGCTGAATAGTATTCCATTGTATAAACATACCACAGTCATCTGTCGATGGACATTTAGGCTGTTTCCATGTCTTGGCTATTGTAAACAGTGCTGCTGTGAACATTGGTGTGTAGGTGTCTTTTTGAATTAGGGTTCCTTCTGGACCGAAATCTTGAGTAATGCAAGAACAGCACCTAGTACCTTCCTTCCTGACCTAGAACTATAACAAAATCCCTAAGATTGCTTGCAGTGGGCCTTATTTACAGATGAGAAAACTGAGGTCCAGAACTAGGAGGATAAACCATCTCTCCTGCCAGAGAAACCAATATTGTATTCTGTTTTAATTTGACTTATTGAGAAGACTAGTTTGATGTGCTACACAAAGTATTTTATGAACATCGTAATTGCTTTCTTACTCTATTGAAACTGTGTCATTCCTACAGGGACATTTCCCAAACCTGGGTCTGTAAAACACTAGTCCAGAGAGATGTCTCTGCCAGCCTGGGTAGGGAAGTCCTATGGCACCCAGTCCTTCCAGGGCCTGAGAAGTCCCCACACACCACCCGGCCCCCTCCGTGACCCTAACCAGGGCGTCCCACACTTACTAAACCCCCTTTCCTGGGACAGCCCATCAGTGTGGAGTCCCATCCATGAATTCCTGTCTCCTCTGGCTCCCATGCCCAAATGGCTATATTTGTAAAATCAAATTAAAGTGAAGATTAGTGGCACACAGGCAATGGGTATTAGAATTCATAAGAGGTAACACGAAGTTTGTATGTGAAAATGGACATTGCCTCATATTTCGCCTCAAGATAACATAGGTAATGACAAGAAAGAGAGAGAAGCTTCAAGGTAAATGCATGAATAGGAGCAAACCTCAGAACATTTTGGAAATAATGCAAAGATCCCAGCAGATGTCACCCTTGTCTTTGTCCCACTCCCCCAAAGCCAGGGCAATCAATCCACCAGACAGCTTCTCACACAGGGAAAAAAAAATTCCACTTCCTAAGCTGGTTTATAAACCTCGGCTTTTTAAGACTTGTCACATCATTTTAAATTTGTGGTCTCCTAAGGACAGATTCTGGTTTTAGGGTGCAGTTCTGGGAGAAGCATGTGGAAATGTTCGCGTTTCTAGCAGTGAGATTGCGCTTCCCCGCAGCGGCCACAGGAGGGAGCCAGAGCTCCCCCGTTCTGAGTGCAGCCGAGTAACGCTCCCCAGCGCCGTGCGGAGCCTCGTCGCGGGGAAGGAAGCCGTGTCCTGGCAAACCTGCTTGACTGACTCACTCACTTGATCAAATGACTACTCCAAGCCACACTTCAGCTGCGACAAGGGCTAGCTTTGTTCACATAACATAGCTGCAGCCTCTACTTGGACTTGGAAAAGATGCCTCTGACCTGTTTCTGTCGGGGAAAGTGTCTGCTGAGGGAAAGAAACCACGTTTCAACAGAAACTAAAACTGCGTGTCCTGAGCAGAGGCCTGAGTAAGTGCAGTTAGTGGAACTTCAAAGCCAGAGCGTCAGAATCATGAGGACTCAGACAACTGAAAAGCAACGGGCACAGATTGAATCTAACTTACAGCTAGTATAAAACAGGAACCACAGGTGTTTTACATTGTGTTTTGTCCTGATAATCGGGTCAAAGGCAGGTTCAGTTAAACCAAACTGGTAAGTTAAGAAATACTGACCACCTGTCGTCAACATCACCCCGACCCCTCCATGAGAACGGGTTCTGTGTGGCTCACTTTAGCCTGCGGACTAAGAGCTTTTCTCCAGGTGGCAGCTCAGGAAAGGACCCAGGAGTGCACGGGCTGCTCTCTGGGCTCTGAAGGCCTTGATCTGTCTCCACTGTCACAGGCTCGGACCAAGTTGTACCTTCTCCAAGAAGCGTGGCTCAATTGCATTTCTCACTCTGTCCCCGGCTGAATGGCCCTCGGCTTTCCCGCTCCTCACACCTCCTGGCCTCCCTCACTTACTCCTGCCCAGGACACGGGAGGGATTTCGCAGGCATGTCAGACCCCCCGCAGAGCGCCCCCAGTGACAACGTGCCAGCTCTTGCTCTCAGCGCTTTGCTTTACATACCAAGCCCTTTAGCACTCAACATCCTGGAAGGTAAGTACTATTATTACCCTCATTTTACAGAGAAAGACACTGAGACATAGAAAGGTTAAGTAATTCATCTGAGATCGCAGGCATAACAAACAGAAGCAAAACCCAGCCGCAGGCAGCCTGGCTCCAGCAACTGCCCCTAACCACCGGGCCACACTGCCTCTCCTGTGAGACCTGCAATCAACCTTCGCTGATTTGAACAGAAATGCACTGGTGGGGTATGCTGTACAGAAGTGAATGCTCGCAATGTGGTTTTCTCGAGCCTTAAACAATTTAAACACCCCAAGTCCCAAAATAAAGTGTTAAAAATCATCCCTAATCCACGGTGAGCCGGCATACAACGTACTTACTGGATCCAGATATGGTCAAGTCTTTACATTCTTCGATGTTAGCGTCACTGTCAAAATAGATTTTGATTTTGCCGCTGTGAGCGTTGTTGTCGAAGGTAATCTGGAGACACAAATATATGAAGAGGTTACGGCTCAGCAGGAAGTACGACCGACATGCTCGATCAGCTCTGCTCAAAGCATCAGCAGCATCCAAGCAGCGCGCTGATCCGAAGACAACTGCACGCATGGAAATGTCCTCATCTCCTGACTCCTTCACAACTCCCTATTAGCAACGAAGAAATACGGTCCAAGGGGTGAACATCTGAAATTCTGCTAAACCCACACTCATTCAGATTCAGAGAAATCCTAAAGCAAAGCAGCCAACCAACCCAAGGAACAAAAATGAGAATTGATCAGTTTTGACAAGAGAACACGAAGACCTCATTTATGACACTGAATGGAATTTGCAAGCATTTGCTTTCATTTAGTCCTCTGAGTGTGAAATTCTAGGTTGGTATGAGGCTGGAAATTATTTCGCTATTTGCTTCAAGTGCTACATATAAGACTTTCAGAAGTGACAAAGATTGCTTTGAGGCTACGGGGTGAATTTAAGATTTCCAAATGCCTTCAGTCTTTCACGTTATGTTCCGAGCACTTTAAGTGTGTGAGTGAAACGTGCAGAGTATTTTGGAGCCTGAGAGAAGTTCTGTAGGGGCTCTCCTGGGGGAGGGAAACGAGCCCTTGAATACCAGACTTAGTAGAAGTTTCATCATAGCTCATAGGTAGAGAAATGAGGCCTTAAATGAGAAATGAGAGCTTAATGCTCTGGTCTGGTCGTAATGATATTCCTGGATGACACTGAGAACGTGTGATGTGCACGTGGCTTGTGCTCAGAGATGCTCAAAGATACTTGTGGGCTTAATCACAGACCACCTAGACATTCAGCTCTCCAAGCTCTTTGCCTGTTTTCTTGATGTGTTTTGTAACATGCAGGTCACCCTGGAGAGATTAATCATGCTACTCTCTGCTGCAGACATCCTTCCTTTTGCCACATGTCACAGTTTATCGTTACTGCTATTCCTTTGGTGACTTGTTTTTCTGTGTGTCTCCTCCACTAGGCTGCAAGCTTCCTGAGGGCCACTGTACCTCTAGAGCGTGGCACCTGCCCCCGGCCAGGCAGGGACTCACGAAACACTTAGTGATCCTTGCTGAAGGACGCACTTGTCTGAATTGCTAAGGAAGCAGTTACATACAACTTTCAGTTTAGCATTCAGCTTTGCCCCTCAAGAAACATGAAAGAAGAAAGGGATGGAGGGGTGGAGAGGAAGGGAAGGGAGGGAGGGAGGAAGGGAGAGAGGAAGGAAGGGAGGGAGGGAGGGAGGGAGGAACTCCATGAAAGAGAGAGGGCGGGTTTCTGCCCCTGCAGAGCAGTCTCTTCTGCGCACGCGCACCCCTCCCAAAATAAAAGCTGAAAGAGCGGATCCTTTGCAGACTGGCCTTCAGATCAAGGGGGCAATTTCTGCCTCAAGGTTTGAAAACATTTGCTACAATACTTGCAAAGACCTTCCTCTGAAAGTGGGAAAACATGACAGACACTTAAAACACTGGTCATAAACTTTTTTATTTTTTTAGAAGTAATTCGGAGTAGGAAGTCAAAGTCCGCTTTGAAAACTCCTCTTTTCAACCCGGAAATCTAGTTTTAAAAAGTTGAAACAGTCTTGCATCATTTTGAGAAGTTGTGGCCTCTGGACCAACGATGTTATAAAGTGGCATGAAAACTGTTTTAAACACAACCGCACCTAATACATCTATCAGCTGGTGGTAAAAAAGTGGCTCAGTAAAACTGACACTTGCCGTGTTCTGAAAGACGTAACAGTCTGGTAACTCTCGGGAGTGAATGGTCTGTAGATCGATGCCTTTGAGTTGAAAGGAGATTTCAACTTGTAAGAGCCTGAATAAAAAATATTTCAAGGTATCAGTTGTCACAGTCTTCCTCCTCGCCTTTCCCCATCCCTGTCTCCTGGGCAATGAAACTTAAAAACTTCCTCACCGATAAAATTCCAGGCTGAAGAAGGGTGAGTTCTTCCAGTCCTCAGAGCTCTGGGAGAGGGCCTGGGGGTCCAGGTGAATGCAGTCTAGGGCAGTGCAAGGACAACGTGACAGTTCAGGCAGCAGTCAGATGCTGAAACCGGGGGCCCAAGAGTGCCGAGAAGCAGATACAAAGTTCAAAGTGTCTCCCCACGATGCTTGTTAATTACAGCGGTAACTTGACAGGGAAGAACCTGGCAGGTACCACCCCAACCAGGGGATCAAAGTCACCACCACCAGTGATGAGGTAAGTCGACAGCATGTGTCTCCTGAAATAACATACCGTTTGTGTGGTGTTCCCTCCCCAAACGCACGTCAATCTAGTCGTAAAGAAACAGGAAAACCTGTGGGAGGGACCCTTTAAAAATGTCAAGGTCATAAAAAGGGAAGAAAGCCAAGAACCTAATTCTGCTCCAGATTATAGGAGACTAAAGATACAGACAACTAAATGTGATATGTGACCCTGGACCAGGTTGGGTGTGGCTTTTGCTGTGAGAACATGGGGGCAACTGATGACATGTGAATAGGGCTTGTGGGTTACTGCATCGTTCCCACGCTGGCTCGCGCTTCTGAGCAGTACACAGCAGGCAGGAGGGGAGTGCTCTTGTTGGGAGAAGGTGCACACAAGTGTTCAGAGAGAGAGACAGCATATCTGTACCTTGTTCTCATATATCCCAGGAGAAATTCTCATATGTAGGAAGAATGATAAAGCAAAGGTGATAAAACGGTAGCATTTGGGAAAGTCAGATGAAGGGTCCACAGGGACACCCTTGTGCTGTTCTGCAATTTTTCTGTTTAGCCTGGTACTTTTTCAAAATAAAGAAAGAGAGAAAGAAAGAAAGAAAACGAAACTAAGGTTGCATTCAAATAAAATCAAACTGAGCTGTAAACTGTAAAAGACTGATTCTATAGAAATCAGTCTTTTTATTGTGTAGCCTAGCACCTTGGCAGGAAACCCAGGAGGGCTGGAGCCAATGAACAACTTTCGTGGTCAACACCTTTCAAGGTCACCCAACCCTGAGGGCAGAAAGGGTGTGAACCTGCCTGGCTGACTCTCGCTGGGCTGTTGCTGCCCCTTGGTGCTCTTGGAAATGGAAAAGTCGGGGCCCACTGCAGTGCCAGACACTCAGAAGGTGCTAGAGAATCCGGGTTGGCCCCCTGGCTAGTTCCCTGAGAATCTCCTCCCACGACGTGACCCTTTATTTGCTCACCCATCCCCTCCACGGGAGGATAAGGTCCGTGGGAGCATGGGCACCACTGCTGTGTGCTGTTAGACACCCACTGCCGAGCAGGCAGGTCACTCAGAGGGTGCAGGACACATGCTATGAAAATCAGGCACCTTGGGCCAAAAACAAGTACGGAGCTGCAAGGGGGACCCGGCAGCCGCAGTATTTAAGGAAGGTGGGTGTCAGGCAGGTGTCTCCCTGTGTTTGGCAAATGGACTATTTGTATCAAGAAACAATTCAATGTTGGTTTTCCTGACCAGGTCTTGATTGGTACGGTGTGGTAGGCTAATCAAAAGAAACTTGTCTTTTATAAGAAAAGACGGATGATGATAAAAAAAAAAAAAAAAAGAGCAGAGACATACAGGGACTCACTCTCTGCCGGCACTGTGCTGGGGGACGCGCTCTCATTTAACGCCTCATCCTGTTCAATCCTCAGGCCAACCTTGTGAGAGACACGACTGCTGCCATTTTACAGATAGACAAACCAAGGCACGGAGAGGCCAAGAAACTTCCTTAAGGGGACACAGCTAGCTGCTGGCCAAGCAGAAGTTAAATCCACACGTGCTCAGTCCCAGGGCCCAAGCTCTGCCTTCACCGGGACACTCAGCAGGCTGACCTCTGGGCATCTAGCTCAGAAACTCCGAAGCCCCAGGCTCCCTCCGTGACTCACGCTTTTCTGACTCATTCACTTATTCAGTAAATATTTGCTGAAAGCTTTCATGGGCCAGGCACTGTGCCAGGCACTGAGGGCAGAGCAATGAACAAGACAGATGAGGTCTGTGCGGGGCTTACAGTGTAGGAGGGGAGACAGAGCAAGAGTGAAAAATACACACAGGACAGTTTCACAGTGTGCAGAATGCTGGGAAGACGGAGGGAAGGGATGGAGGAGAACTGGGTGGGCAGCCCTCCCCCGGAGAGCTGGCTGGGGAAGGGCTGTGAGGTGCAGGGGTGTCTGAACGGACACCAGAGGTTGGGAAGAGCCCCAGCTGAGCACAGATCCTGGGGCGGGGGGGGGGGCCTCCGGGCAGGGCGAAAGCACACACGAAGCCCCAGGCAACAAAGAGCTTGACCAGCTCAACCAGCAGCAAGGATGCAGGGCAGGGAAGCAGACGCCAAGATGAGAAGCCTGGAGAGGCAGGCGAGAGGCCAGTCCCAGAGGGACCTGTGGGTTTATTCTAAACAGAATGGGAAGTCATGCCTGGTTTCTAAGCCAGCAAGTGACGTGACCCAATTTATCCAATTTTTAAAAAGTATCACTCTGGTTGCTGAAGGGTAGGGCAGGGGTAGAGACGGATCTGAGGGGCTGAGGGTCTGCCTTTCTCACAAGCGCCTGTGTGACGCCACGTGACCGGGCGCGAGCAGCGAAGACCCACCATCACGGAATCACCGCGTGACCTCGACCTGGTCACTGAGCTCGACTAGCACCGGCTTCCTCGGCTGTAAAGTGAAGGCCCAGCTGAGGGTACTCAAGGCCCTTCTAGCTCTAACAGTCTTATTCTAAGGTAAAGTAGAAGAAACATAAATAAACTGATCTGAGTAAATGACTGTCCTCTGAAAGCAGTAATATGTCCAAAACCTATGTGCCAGATACTAGGCTGTCTTCGCCTGTATCTCATTCATTCTAAGACATTAATTTTTTCACTTTCAAATGTTTCTAAGATAGATGAGTCTTTTCAAAAATTGATGGCATCTTAAATTCAGAGAAATCTGACCGCATTTGTTAGTTAATTTTGCACTAAGAGTAAAATTTGCCTTATAAAAGCCTATTTGGTTATTCAGATTCTGTAAGTGTAGTAACAGGGTTACCCTTGATCTACATACACACTCGAACTTGAAGTCTGGCGGACCTTATGCTACGGTCATTGTAACGAGGCCACCGAGCACCTGGTGGCAGCAAAGCCTAAGGACTGGGATGTTTTTAAAGGCTGGCAGAAGCCCTAAATAAAACGTCAGGTCTCAAACAGAACACACTGGTATCAGAGCGGCAGCCTCATCGCTCAGATGAATCTCACTCCGAGGGCAGAAGCCCCCAGCAAGCGAAATATCCACCCTCCCAGAGGCAAAGGGAGGGTGGCTCTGTATGTTCTCAGAACAACAGGGAAAACGATGAAACGGACATAATGCTTCATGCTAAGAACACATAGAAAGGAGGACATAAGGAATTCAAAATCTGCGTTATAGAACGTGAAACCCTTGCCTTGGAATGATCTCCATCTAAATGTTGTAAACGTTTTTTAAAAACAGGATTCACAGCAGCCCCCGCAGTGAGGATGAACTGTACAGCTGTAGGTCTAGAGCCAGCGACAGAGGGATGCGCCCTCCGCAGAATGAAGGGAAACCCTTAGCTTGAGCTGTACCATCAGTCCTGCAGCTAAACATCCACCCAGCAGGACAGCAGCAGGCAGGCAGGGCCTGCACTGAGCATACCAAAGGATGCCCCTCTTAACAGTTAAGATACTGCAGACTTCATGACTCATGGAGAGCAGCTCCTGCTAATTCACCTACTTCAACTCTAACACCATACCAGTGGAGTCAAACTCAGTCCCTCTTTGCATCCCCTGCAGGCTTCCTCCAACGTGCCCAAGACAAGAAACTCTAAAACCCAGTATTAGGCATTTAAAAAATATTCTTGAGAGCTTTTGAATAGATTCATCACAAAATTCTCTTTGACAAGTTGTAAATTAAGTCAAAAAGTACTTGCTTAACTTAACTTGCTGAAGCAGTCTCTCTTAAAATAAAGTCAAATTAATAATCAGCTTCTCTCCATTTGCTTAAAAATATTCCATCTTCTGATTGAAAGGAAATGACCAAGGACGCCACAGTCCAACGGTCGGGGAATAAACCTGGCTTTCTGCACTGCCCGGCCCACCTAGCTACTGGTATTAACTTTGGCCACATTTCTTTAGTTGATTTTCCAAGAAAAATCAATGGAGGAAAACAGTATATGAATCATTGGAAAATAGTTGTATGATGCATCCAATTCAGTCTCACATTTTTAAGAGGACAAGTGGCCAGTGGCTCACTGGAAGCAGAGAGGGTACCCACTCAGTACTGCCACCCCAGCTACAGGAGCCGCCCGCAGAGCGGAGCCCAGCTGGCAGCTCAGGAGAAGGTTTCAGAGTGAAACAGGGTCAGCTCCTGCAGACTGACTACTGAACAGATCTCAGGACAGCGAAGCCTGCAGGCGGGGAGACAAGCGACATTCGAAGCTTGCTGGTCACAGACCCAAGCCACTGACACCTAGATGGGCCTCTGGAGGCCACCTGGGGACCCTGACGGTGCTGGCTTATGGTCTGTTTCTTTTAGGGTCAGGAGTATGGGACACATTTACTCAGGAAGAGATTCTAAACAGGTAGCTTGTGGAAACAGAATTAGAACGTTTGTTTTGCGGGGCTGTTCTGTTGTATCACCAAGGCGCCCTATAATTGGGTTATAGGAAATACGGTCAAAAGAACTGCGAGGCTCTCTTTTTAATAAAGCCACCCCAAATTCACACTGCCACCAGGACCCCCATTCCTCACCTGTCAGCTGCTGGAGGAGCTCAGACCGATTAATCTCCACAGCCCCAGCACATACACCAGGGTTTGCTGAATGAATGACCACACCTGAAGAGCCTTAAGTCAAATACTTTGCAATAACCTATGGTATGCTTTCAAATTCCTAACAGATGTCATAAAACAATTTTACTCGATGAAATGTTAACTTTTTGCCAAACAACCTCCAAAAGGAGAAAATGAGTTACTTATCACAATTCACCTCTGAAGAGCATTAATATACTTAACAAATGATTAGAAGCAAAAATACCAAGCATTTGAACCCACATTATCTCATTTAACAACTAGAGGCTTATTTTTTCAAAAACTCTAATCGCCCCCTCCTGGAGGGAAAATCTTAGACAGACAGGAAACACCTGTCCTTTTACCCCCAAACCAACCATCTGGAGTTGCACCAAAGAGATCCACAAGTGTTCCTGGTCCTCTCACAGTAGGCCCGCAGGTTCCTGAGCCAACGGCTTTGCGTGCAAATGTCAAAGCCTCAAATAGGTTGGCTGCCACAAGTGCAAAGCTGCTCCGTTTGGGTTGCCAGCACACGTGGGTGTTTTTGCTCTTAGTACAGAAGACGACAAAGGCATACAATGAAATCATCGCTGCGTTACCGATTTTAATGTCGCTGTCAATATTCAGTGTCTCGTTGGAAGGAAACATGGTCCCTTTCTTGTAATGCTGCTTACAGACTTTTAAGCCAATTCTGTTGCCTTCACTTTCTCCATAACCAAGGGTCCCCAGGGATATGTTCCTCAGGCGATGATACTATTAAAAATAGTTAAATAAAAACACTTACGAGCTTGAAGAGTTTCATGAGAAGGTACAGCATATGGAATATATATTCAGCTGGGTTTTTAGTGCTTATATCATATCCCTCAATAGAACTCCCCAACATAAAATACCAAGGTAATATCCCCAGGTTGGGCAGAAACACAAAGCCTCATAGAACTCAAAACCACAGTGAACGTGCAGACAGAGGCTGCCACCTCCTCGGAGCCAAAGCCAAGGTCCTGCCGATCTCGCTGACCTCACAGCCCACTAGGGTCCCTCGGCCCCACCCCCCACCTCCCAAAGCCACACTGGCGTCCAGGCAATTCCTGGGGCTCCCCAGACTTGCTCCTGCCTGGGGCCTTGGCTGTTCCCTCTGCCTAGAAGCTCTGGTTCTCTATCTGCTAGATTCACTCCTTCAGGCCTCGACTCAAACATTACCAGCTCAGTGAGGCCTTTCCTTCCACCCAGTGAAAACTGCAAACATCCATCACTAGCACACAGGCACCACCAGGCACTCCCAGTCTCCTCCCTGCTTTATTCCAGTTATCACTGTCCAGCATACCACTGAGGGCCGAGCCACCCACACCCACGGCGTGCACATTAACGAGAATTTACCACCTGCCTATCTGCGCCAACAGGGCCTTACGGGCCCCTGTCTTCCTTCATAGGACTTTATTATTTCAGGAAACTTTTGCCCAGGGACATCAAAGTTGCAAACAACTGTATTGTTTATTTCAGGAACATCAAAAAAACCCCAGAAAACAACAAACAAACAAAAAAAACGCATTGAAACAAATGATCAGTTTGGAGATTTAGTCAATTAACTCTCAAGAGTCTTTGAACACCCCTTCCCCCAACCCTCACCTTGCTATGTCCACCATTCCTAAACTATTATATGAATATCTTCACCCTGTTCTTATCAAGCTCCTCTCACTGAAAGACCTGCCTTAACCCAGAATTCAAGATCTATATCTGGGCTTTGCCCTCTACACTCGACTGAGCATGAACGGCCAAGGGAGCACCTCCTCTACCACTGTTGGCGGTGGGCTCAGGTTTGCTCATCCACACGGCTTTTTGGTGGTGTTTTCAGGGAGTCAGCATTCAGCACTACATTTCACTCCTTTTCATTTGTCTGGCTCTCCCCCCTAGAATTAAGTTTTATAAGGACTGGGGTTTTGTCTGTCTCCTTCATGCCGTGTCCCCCGTGTCTAGAACAGTACCTGGTATATACGAGGTACTCAAATATTTATTGAATGAGTAAATGAATGAATGAATGAAAAAGAAAGAATCTGGTTTCTCAGCACTGCCTAGATACACACATAGCGTATCCTCCTCCACACTCAACATTCAGCGAGGCTCGTTAGTGCTATGCATCAAAATTGAGACCCTGGAATCTGAGGTTTGGCCTCTCACTCATCAGACCTTCCGAGATTGTGGGCTTACTCTTAGCTATGTGACTATTTGGGTAATCTCCCCATAGTAGTGGGTAGGAAGGGATAAATACAAATGTAAATCTTAAAGAAAAACTTAAAATAGGCAAAATCTATTGTGTGGAAATGTAGCTATAAAAAAACAGCAATAAACCTTTTTTTGGCAGGCTATGCAAAATTTAAATTAGAATATTTTAATATATGTATAATTATTTTTTCAAAGACAACAAGAGTAAGCGTCTATATATTCTTAAAGTAGAGGTAATTCACAACAAAATACTTGCCTGATTAATAGCAAAAAAGATGCTCTCATAGGCGTCCTCTTGAGTATAAACACTGCAACTGTAGTCGTCTTCATCTGTGCCAGAATAGCCTTTCAAAAACAAGTGCTTAAAAGCAGCAGCATTTTCTTCTTTGAAAGCAACCACCAGCTGGTTACTTAAACCAAAACGAACAAGCTAGAAAGAAAAGCAAATAGAAGTATGTGGATTTTGCCCTTTACTAGGGGAAGCAAATGCCTTCTTACTCTCATCAACCCTCACCTATAAACATCGGCAAGAAAAATCTCACTTTACTAATCACACCAATGTCGAAATACAAGAATTCTCTCCCCCAGAAGTAACCTGAGCAAGCTACATCTGCCACCTGAAATAGCATAAAATTAGGAGACATGACCACTTCCAGGGACTAACCACCTTACTGGCCTTTAATGACAGAGAAGAAGAGGAAGGATTCAGTTAAGTCTGAATCCACTTTTCTTACACTTAAATTTCTAATTGTTTTAAAAATGGCTGTGTATTTGACCTTTGAACAATGCGAGGGTTAATCTGACTTTATCGTTTGCCCTGTGAATTCGAGGATTCAACCAATCACCGACCGTGGAGCACTGTCGTGTTTAACTACCGAAACACACCCACGTACAAGTGAACCTACATGGTTCAAACCCACTATGTTTGGGAGAGGGTATAGCTCAGTGGTAGAGCATTTGCTTAGCATGCATGAGGTCCTGGTTCAACCCCTAGCACCTCCATTAAAATAAATAAAAACACAATTGCCTCCCCCCCAAACAAAAACAAACAAACCAACCCACTATGTTCAAGGGTCAAGTATACTTAGTGAAGCACTAATTCATCCACTTTACTGTTTGATAGTTAAATCAAAATGATTTAAAATTTAGGAATTATAAGTATTTCTAAAAAATCATAACTATGCCTCACATGTGGCTTTCTAAGAATGTTTTTGAAAAGTGGCCTATATAATACTTACTCCAACTAAGAGGTAACATCATTGTCCCTCCAGCCCTGCAAGAACCTGTGTAAGATTTATACTCAGGGTTCCTGCCTCCAAGACCTACAGCATCAAAGCTCTGTATACCGTATCCCAGCCCAAGGTTAAGTGCCCAAGGGCTTTCTTCACCAGGAGTGAAAGTATTCTTTCTGCCCTAAGGTTTTCTTCGAAATCCAAGCAGGGAAAATGAGCAAGCACTAAATGTTTACCCTCCTCAAACCCAGGCAATTACACACACAAACAGCCTCCCTCTCCACACACACTAATGCACACTCTCTCACACACATGCTTCCACACTCACCCTCACACTCATACACACACTCACACTCTTTTGCACACTTACTCCCTCACACGTGCTCTACAGCTCTCTCTCTTGTCTCTCACGTGCACACACACACCCCGACACACCCACGCAATGGCAGAAGTCAAACCTTTATAAGCCCTGCCCCACACACCCTTCCCCATGGACCCACTTAATCTTCTCATCTGCTTTATCAGACAATGAGAGTCCAGAAAATTTGCTGCGAATCTTCACCGTGCCAAGTCACCAAAACAATTTGGGGCTGTTGTCATGCATGAAATCAGCACGTTCCACCTGATGACCTTGACCCATGTTATCTGCTGTCACTCCTTCCAGATGAAACAAATGTTAATTTGCATATGCAAACTTACCTATTTTAAGTGATTTATATTTCTTTAGCTTTTAAATTTTGTCTGACTTTTTTTCAAGGCTAAATAATTTAAAATATTAGTTACTGCTTTTCAGCAATTATCGTACTCCAGGCCCTGTACTAACTGCTTTACACGCATTATCTCATTTACCAACACATCGGCCCTATGAAAATGTTACTACTGTTACCCCAGTTACATATGTGGAAACTGAGGTTCGGCCTCATTACGTTGCCCAACTCACCGAAGTAGAATGAAAGCCAGTCTAACTCCAAAGTCATGTGTGTTATGCCACACGATTTCCATCTACTGAAAAATCTGCCTTTGAGACTCCTTGTAGAGAAAAGAATTTAGGTGCTAGCTCTCCAGGACTGCAAATACCATTTGAGAAGGTACGTAGATGACACCCTTTGAGTCTCACCAGGTCACATTCCTCAAATATCAAGTCAAGGGATCGGGCAATTGCTAAACCCAGCTGTGCTGAGGGAAGTGTCAGATAAGAAGTCCCACAGCATCCAATCTGTGCTGAAAATCAACTGAAGGCTAAGCGTTCTTTCAAGCATATGATGTCTACCAATGGGGCCTGTAGGAAATGCCAGAAAAGGAAAGGCCATGTTGCTTTTTGAAAGCTAAAAAAATAAACCAGGGACCCAATGCGCACATGACCATTTCAGGGTTTATTAAATACTGATACACAAATGAAAAAACTAGTACAGCACACACGGATTCGGTTCTTCATTCCAAGTTTGCCAAGTACTTACTCCATGCCAAGCTGGGATACAAAGTGGACAAGGCTGACACTGCATGGTGTGGAATGCCAACTCTTCTGTCCCGAGTGCCAGGCACTGTGCCTAAAATTTATAACTTTAACTTCTCACTTAATTCTCCAACACCCTATGAGGCAGATATTACACTGAGCTCCACAAGGACAGGAATTTGTTTCTTTTCTCCCCACTACTATATACTCAGAAACTGGGATAGTGGCCACCACAATGTCAGAGTTAAATACTGAATCTGTGATGAATAAAATCCCATTTTATACACGTGCAACCTGAAGTCAAGTACCTTATCCAGGTTGGAACTGCTGGGACATGTGAGAATGGGGATCCCAGCTGGGTCTGTTTGACTCACCGGTTCCTTCTCCTGACCCCTTGGCCACACTACCTCTCAAATGGAAATGCTGCCAACTTAACTCTAGAAGTGGGGATATTAGACCCATTCTTCTCACACTCATAGTTAAGCTAAAGAAACCCCCGAATTGAGTGGGGAATGAATAACTTGACCAAGAGATCAGCATTCAATTTGCTGATATTTTCAGCCACCAGCTTCTTTAAGCTCAAAGCTCATCAACTCAACTTTGGGAATGAGAGATCATGGAGGTATAACCTCTGCTTGGAACCACCCCCCATCTGGCATCAAGAACAAGAAATTTCCTTCATTCCCTTGTTCATAGAGTAACACGTGTGGCCCAGCCTCAGGGCAGGACTAGGATTTCCCAGGCATCTCTCAGTAGAGGAGAAAAACCCTGGGAAGGAGATCATGAGGTCCCCTTCCTGCAATGGCAGAACCAAACACCCCTACAGAGCAAGAGTGACAAGATGATGAGGTTGGCCAAATGATTTTATTTTTTAAAAGGGGCTGGCAGAAAAATGCACCCTAGCCCCACTGACTAGATCTTAAGATTTACTGAGACTATGATATAAGACAGAAAAATAATTACACATTAAGAAAAAGAATATGAAAAGGAATATGTGTTTACATGTAAGACTGAAACATTATGCTGTACATCAGAAATTGACACAACATTGTAAACTGACTATACTTCAACTAAAAAAATTTTTTTAAATTACACATTAGGTCCAACCTGGCAAAGATTGTGAATTTAAGACCTGATTATGAAATCAATGGAGTAGAAAATATTCTGTACCAGGTAAACACAGGATACCACTCTAATAATATACAAAGAACATGGGAGGGAAAGAGCAGAACCAGCAAAAGAATGCAGACAACTTCTCTTAAGATTGTAAATGACTGCAGAATGCAGAGCAGGAATGTCTGAAAAAAAAGTTTCCTTCTCATCAACCTTGAGAAAACGCCACCCTTCCAACCAGACTCGAGGATGGAGTGCTAAAAAAGATAGAAAAAGAGGAGGAGGGAAAGCGGATTGGCAGGAAAGATACTCAGCACATCTGTTCCAGTTAGATATCACCCAAGGAGCAAAACCTGCTAGAATGGTCCTACACGGGAACACGCGTTTCATCCCCCCCAGTTTTGTTAGCGGAGGCAGGGTATGCCCCCCGCCACACACAAATATTAACCCCCAGAAATACTGCATTAAAAGTGAAGTTAGTGATGCAGCCCGGAAGGGGTACTAGCGAACTAAGGAAAACCACGTGTTAATCACTCAGTCAAGGCTGGTGGGGGAGGCGGACTTCAAACAGCTCCTGCAAGGTGAGGGAGAGAAAGAATTCCTCTGGTTTTGGAGGAACAAACAGGGCAGGGCTGGGAGTCATTGGGTGGTGCCATCTGGTGGGGATTTGGGGAGGAAATAAGAGATGAAAACCTGTTGGAAAGTTAAGTTGAAGGAGACTATGGACATCTGTGAATTCCAGGTTATAGAGTCAAAATTTTATTCTGTGGGAAGTAGGATTCTACAGAAGTTTTTGAGCAGGAGTGACACTATAAAGGCATTCTAAGAAAAGTTAATCTGATAGGAGCACTGAATGGGCTGGTATGTACGGAGATAAGAATGGTGGACAGAAGATGAATTCCAGGAGCTGCCTAGTTAACTTATCTGTATTGCTAGAGTGCAAACTCTGAGGATCTCCATCTAGAAAGAAACAGTATGAAAATAAGACTGCAGGCGCCACAGCCAGACTGCCCAGGGGCTCAAGTCCCGCTCTGCCACTTCCTGGCTGAAGGACCACAAGCTCATCCACACAACTCTCATCCACACAAAGCGGGTGAAAATTGAATCTACCTCACAGACTGCAGCGAGGGTGAAATGAACTAACAAACGTGAAACACTTACAGTGCCTGGCACGTGGCACATGCAACGCTGCGTGTGAGCTGTCCGTGGTAACGTGGTCACAGCTATATTCCCAAGAGAATGCTTGGCATATGAGGTGCTTCATACATATTTTTAACTAACAAGGGAAGAGTCTAGAGAGAAGACAGTGAGTTTGGCAAAACACAAGGAGACGCAGCTTTGAGGAAAAACCCATGGGATTTTAGTAGCTGAGGGTGAAGAAGGTAAGTCAAAGAGGGTGACGAGGCCTTGTGCATAGGAAAATTAGGATTTTAGTCACATTATTAGATCAGGAAGTTGGTTTGGCCAGAGAAGTAATTGGAAGACAATTAAAATTAACCAAATGGCAGAAGGGACATTATATCTCCTCCTTCCAAGCAACACTTACCACAGGCCTATTTCATAGGTTATCAGAGTTGAATCTTCAAAACCCAAAATTAAAATGAAATTTTTTTTAAAAAAATGCTAAGCATA